CCCCCAAAACCCCAAAACCCCAAAACCCCAAAACCCCTTTTTTAGCATAAAAATAGAAATTAAAATTCAAAATGGAAAAAATTTCAGACGACCCGGGAAGCAATAATTCAGACACAGAGTATGAAGAGGAAGATAAGGAGCCAGAAGATGAGAATGACAACCTCCTGCAAGAAATGACTGCCATTGCACAGAGTGAGGAGTATATTGGATCCTTAACAGAGCTTGAAATCATATTTGTGCCCATAAAGAGTCTTGAGAATCTCAAATTATGCCATAACTTAATCCATCTGACTCTCCTCAAGACACGAACCAAGACTATTGAAGGGATTGAGTCATGAGGTCACAGTCTAGAATCAATCACAATGGTCGGATGAGAGTTAGAAATTATTGAGAATTCCTTTGCATATTTGCCAAATCTGCGAGAAATTAACCTCTCTGAGAACAATATTCCATGAATTCAAAACCTTGATAATTGTCTCCATTTGGAGAAGATAACACTTAGTTGTAACAAAATAGGAAATATTACAGGCCTCAAGAATAATAAAAAGCTGAAAGAGTTATATTTACAAGAAAATCTCATCACTAAAGTTGAAGGATGAATTAACCTCCCTAATCTACAAGTTCTGTACCTCTCCGGCAACAAGATCAAGAATCTGAATGACTTAAAAGATATTGAGAATTTAAAGCAGCTTAAGAGACTTACCTTCGCTTGCGAGAATTTCTGACCCTGCCCAGTTGCAGAAATTCAAGGCTACAGACAATATGTGCTTACAGTGTGCTCTCAGAGTCCTTATCTCGAGATGCTGGATTCAGAATATCTCTCTGAAGAGGATATTAGCTACTCAAAGAACGAGTTTATAGAGTCTATACTAGAACTCCAAAAATCCTTAGAGGAGGTTGAAAAATCTCATCGACACTCAGTCCTGACTATCGATTCCAAGCTCCGTGAAAATGAGCAGCATCTAGAAGACATCGAGGACACTCTTATTGAAGAACTCAACAATTTCCGTCATGAAATTGAAGAAGGAAAGAACAAATTGCTTAATGAATTCGAGAAATTAAAATAAACTCAGAACGAAATCTGAAGACACTTTCCTCAAGAGCCTTAAAGAAATAGAATCAAATTATGAAAACATCCTAACTACCGTGTTACAGACTGAGGAGAAAAAGTATGCAGATTGGGAAAAATGTAGTGAAAGAACAGTCAAAAGCCTTGAATTTGAAAGAGATGTCCATGTTACACTGGCAGATAGTTTATACAGAACACAGGGTAAGGTGATACACTCAGAGATTATTAAATCATCTGCTGAATTTTCTTACCTTTCTGGCCTGGTAAACCAGGCCAAGAAAGGTGAGCTTGTCACCAGATTGCGTAAGGCATTTCATGTAAACTTTACTGATGTTGCATTCACAGAGCAGTTACTTGGCCCAAGAATGTTTCTGAAGTTATCTATCCAGGAACTCACAGAGTTCCTGGTGAAGAGAACTCTTCCAGAGTTCTCACCAGATCTCATTGATGAGAAGTTCATTGGTGATATTTCACTAGAAGCAGGTAATTTTGTCATCCTTGCAGTTAAGGGAGAGAAAAGAGCGGTTGCTACTGCAAATCCAGTCCTCCACTTCTGGTCAAAGAATGAAGCTAGCAAAATTGTTGCTGAATTTGTAATGGTGATATCATGCTTATCATCAAGTGATGCACAAATCATTAACAAGATGAACGAAGATGAAAGGATTATAGATGTTATCTCAGATACACATGATCTTCCAATCGAGTCTTTAGCAATGATTAAAAACCTTGAAAGGGAGATCTTTGAGAAATTTGCCGATCACGAGAGAAGAGTTTGGGGAGAACTAGAGCCTAATGCATTGTCTAAATATAAAATGCAGCAGGATGAACTCACAAAACTTCATGGCTCGCTTCAATCCCTCAAGCTTAAAATTGATGAGGAAAAGTCCTGTCAGGAGAAAATACTTGTCAACATGAGAGAAGCAATAATCGGTAATGGTGGTCCAAAATTGTACTAAACAAACTTATCTTAATGCACATTATTGGGGTTTTGGGGTTTTGGGGTTTTGGGGATTTGGGG